CATTAGGACGAGGATGATCGACGACGGACCAAGCAATGGCAACATTGGGGTTAGGCAGGAAAGTTGCAGGCAAGCGGGAGGCAGGCGTGACTTTTCCTAAGAACACATGGCGGGGGAGTCATTTTTAGGGAAAATGGTCATGTAAGGGATTTGCTAGATACCCCTTAATCTTTTAAATAATTTTTTTAGGTCTATTTAGGACACATCTAGATGTGACATAAACATCTAAGCTGATGTCCACTCTATTTGTGGTCTTTTTTTTTGTCCTAGTTTTTTTTTATTGCTGCATTATATATTTGTGAGAGCTTAGATGTGACATACTTAAAAAATATCTAGATGTGAATTAGACAAACTGTTATTTTTTTTCTCCTCAAATATAACTTATAAGAGATCGGATAGAGATGAGATGTATTAATGAGAAGATCGGCTCGTTAAGGCTTGGATAGGTAGGCTCGCTTTCATTAACGATCTAAAAACCAAGATTGGCTCATGAGCACTTGCTACAGCTCATTTAAAAGTACAAGTAACACATCACTTCAACAACAGTTTACGATAATTTAGACAACTGCATCAGAAATGCATTAATATTTTAGCAACAACCAACAAATCAACATAGCATCGCAAGTAGGTATAGTAAGCAAATAATAGTATTCTTGCAAAAAAAAGCCAAATAATAGTATTCTTAATAGTAGACTTACTTGATGGGCTAAAGCTAAGCTAACACAACTTTTTACAAGCTAACTGCAGCAGTTTTTTTTAGCTTGTGAAACTCCTTTGTGTGGATCATTAAGCTAAAAACAAAGATTAACTCAGCTCATTAGTAAACGAGCCGAGCAAACGGGCAATCGTTAAGCTTACTGAGCTTTGAGCTTTTTGCTCACCCCTGTTGTAGTGCACTTTGGCCCCAAAACTCGAACATTTAATTGGAGTTCGGAGAAAAGTTAACACCAGCTTAAAACATTGTCAAGTCTCTAAAACGTCTTACATTAGTGTACAGAGTGAGTACATACATAGACGATCAACTACAACTAAAACACACAACTGAAATATCTTGCAACTATAGGTACAGGACTGCTCTGCTCTAGATTAGCTGACTTTAGCAGGATCGAAGTTTAAACCAAAAATACATTTAACTAAAGTAACTGCAAAACATGAGCACCACACACCACGCCGAAGACGATGGATCAGTTTCCAGGGAATTTAACAAAATGATCTACTTTTGTTTTGCTTTGACAAAATGGCATGCCTTGCGCCACAGACATCCCAAATGAGACGTCCTGTATCACTGACATGTGGGCTCTGAAGCCACTTGTCAGTGCCACAAGGTGTGTGTCATTTGTGTCAAAGTGCAAAGAAATATACTCCCTCCGTCCCATAGTGTCAAAAATGATCTTACATTTTGGGATGGAGGGAGTATCATTTCGTCAACGCTTTCTGCTAACATTGACATAACCACTCCTAGAAAAATAAGTGATGTATATAGATATATTAGGTACTACAACAAATGTTCACATCACATATCACAGACCCAGTCAACACTTTCGTCCCTGCAGATACTGCTATATACTTATGTACAAACGAACTGTCAGTCAATCTCCTCATCGATCCTACGGCATCGCAGCTCCTCGGATCCCTCGTAATCACATGGTCGAACAAAACGACCGTCGATCCAACAAGCTGCCATGAGATCAAAAGAACAAATCAAATCTTCTATTCCCCTTTTGGTTTTAGCACTACAAGTCTAGAACTCCAAGTGCCACCACCTCTTCTTTCTGTTCTCCACGACGGGCAACTCTGCAGCAGATCATCATCAGCATGGTGAGATACATAGAGTCAAGAGCATGAAAACCAAAATGATATCTATACGATGATTATAGTCATATACAGTACCTCCTTCTGGATATATCGAGTTGTAGTGCACCTCAGCCCAAAAACTCAAACATATAACTGGAGTCGAGAAAGAAAGAAACAAAATCATGTTAGATACAAATAAACTAAAATATATTTGGTGAACTTAGAAATCAATTCATCAATACTAACATAGCAATGACAAACACACATTACCTCTATTTGATTTTTGAACGACTGGGAGAATTTCAATGTAGCATGTATCTCTGAATGATGTCAGAATGAAAATCTTTACACCATACTGAAAAAGTCAAATGCATATACTTCAGTTCCATACAAATAGCAGAGCAGTCATATGACATGAGCAGATCACTGATAATAATGCCAAGAAACTACGCATAAAGGAGAGATTTTTAAGAGATGCCGCCCCAAAAGTCACAATTTTTAACTCATATCAGGTGGCAGGCATACAATTAAATTACGGCAAGCAATTGTCCAAGAGATGAATCACTGCAAAGACAAACCAAAGTAGAGACTGAAGTAAGCAACTGGTCTGGTAAGAAGCATGGTTTGCCATGCGTACCGAAGTACTCCAAGCAACAATGGTCAGAATCGTTCACGACGAGAACTAAATACATACATCCTGAGCAGAGGATGAAGACTAGGAACAATCTCTTTCCCTCCCTTCACTACCACCAGATAAGAAAATAAACAGCTTCAGCCTATCTGTCCCCTGATCGATTGATCGATCGCTAGCTAGCTACCTACAAGCCGTCTGCACTGCTGCCATGGTCCCTCCTGGCCTTCTTCCCCGGCGGCGGCAGTGCGGCGAGAGTGTCCTGTAACTGCCGCTGGGCGTCCTGGAGCATCTGATTACTGCGGGCCTCCGTCTCCTTCCAACCCTGCTCAATCTCCCACTGCACCTCCATTCTCCGCCTCTCCAGCCGCTTGATTCCCTCGCCGATGTCCCTCAGCACGCCTGCTACGGAGCCGTGGTCCACGGCGGGAGCCTCCTCGGCCTTGATGGCCCTGTCTGCAGCGGCGGCCTTGGACTGGAACATGGCGGCCTCGTAGGAGACCCTCTTGCGCGGAGGCGCGGTGGACAGTGTCACAGCCGGCGGCGAAGGGCGGCGTTGCTGCTGCTGCTGCTGCTGATGGCCCCTGAAGCCGCCGGCGTCGCGCACGAGGCCGTTGATGCTCCTGGTGTGGCTGCCGGTGTTCCTGGCGACGAGCAATTGCTCCTCCTCCTCTTCTTGGTCCTCCTCCTGCTCCTCGTCTTCCTCCTCCTGCTCCTCTTCATCTTCTTCTTCCTCCTCCGGGTCCAGGTCCTGGTCTTGGTCGTCGTCGGAGGCGGGCGGGGAGGCGGGGAAGGAGTTGGTGGAGACGGGGACGGGGCCGCGCTCGAGGCGCTCCATGCGGCGGAAGAAGGGCCAGAGGGAGGTGACGGGGCGGGCGGCCTCGGTGCGGTAGCGCTTGCGGAGCTTCTCGAGCTTGTGGCGGCACTGGGTGCCGGTCTTGCGCTGGCCGCCGCAGCGGCGGGTGACCTCGCCAGCCACGTCCTCCCACTGGTGCGCCTTGAGCTGGCCCCGGCGCAGCTTGGTCCAGCGGTCCTCGTAGACGTCGATGAGGTGCATGGTCTCGCCGTCCGACCACGGCTGCCCCGGCGCGCTCTTCCTCGCCTCCATCGCTGATGGCCCCTCGGCGGCGGGCGGCGGTTCAGATCTGGATCTGGGGAGGGGGGAAAGGGGGAGGGAGTGGTGGTGGAGTAAATGGCGGCGGCGGCGGGTGGTGGAGGCGCGGGGGGGATAAGCGCCAGGCCAATATCGTATGGGTGGTGGTGGCTTCGGTTTTTCTTTCTCGGTGGGTGGTGCGGTTCACGTGGACGGTGGCCCCGTGCGCCGCTCGCTGACCGGTGGGGCCAGCCGGTTTGTCCCTCCCATGCCCCTCGCTGACCGGTGGGGCCTACCAGTTTGTCCCACCCATGCCCCCCCTCGCTGACTGGTGGGGCCAGCTAGTTTGCCCACACGGGAGTAAAGTCCGAAATAAACCTTCAACTCGCACGCCTCGTCGAAATCGAACCCTCGCCTCCGAATCCCTGAAATCGACAATCCCGACCAGTAGCACGCTTAAGTCTGTTGCCGAACAAGGATTGCACACGTGGCACCGGGGAGTGCGAGGGCATACGTCAGTTCCCAAACAAGGATTGCATACGTGGCACCGGCGAGGCCATGGCTCACGTGGGTTTCCAAACAAGAATTGCATATGTGGCGCCAGGGAGGCTAGGGCTTACGTCGGTTTCCAAACAAGCATCGCATAGGTGGCGCCAGGGAGTCCATGGCTTACGCCAGTTTCCAAACAAGGATTGCATATGTGGCACTGGGGAGGCCAGGGTTTACGTCGGTTTCTAAACAAGGATCGCATAGGTGGCACCGGGGAGTCCAGGGCTTACGCCGGTTTCCAAACAAGCATCGCATAGGTGGCGCCAGGGAGACTAGGGTTTACGTCATTTTCCAAACAAGGATTGTACACGTGGCACCGGGGAGGCCATTGGTCACTAATTCAAGCATGCCATTGGATGTGGTCTGACGATGATTCTAAGGGTTTGTCTCCGGTCACCAGCGTTGGCTCAGGGAGGCGACAACGTAGGCGAAACTCGAAAGAGGTCAAAGTAGCGTGCTGGGGACAAGGGCGACCGTGACAGTTGGAGAAGCGCGAACTTGCGACTCATGAAGAAGAGGTGCGCCTTTCATGTCGGCGGTGGCGTTGTGATGTGACCCTAAGGTGGGCGGCAAGGTCCTTTGTGAGGAGGTGAGCGATAAGGTCATGAGTCACACAATAGAAAATGGGGATTTCAAGGATTGAGATGTTGGGGTTTGATTTCGACCACCCATACAAATTCAAGGTTTAAAACAGATTTCGCCAGGGTGCGGCTAGGAGGATCAGAAAGTCCGACAGAAAGATCAGCACAGTATAGAATCGAAGGTCTTTGACAAGAGCAATTAAGGGCAGCCTAGTGCATGTAGCTCCCGCTTGTGTAGGGTCCGGGGAAGGGTCCGACCACTTTGGCTCTTTTATACGCAATCTTTCCCTACATTTCTGCAAAGAGGTTGTTTCCAGGACTAGAACCATGACCTCATATTGAAATAGTTCAATCACATTGTAAAATCGTGTGTGAAATTGCAATATAGCTCTTCTAATATATATGATGGCAGAGTCAAAGGTACTCCCTCCATCCTATAATATAATATGTTACCACTACCAATATACATAATATAGTATGTTATTACTACCAATATGTGAGTATATTGGTAGTAATAACATCTTATATTATTATGGGATGGAGGGAGTGAATTACTAGTCAATGATGTACTATATGCACTGCATAGATACCCTGAGAATGCACGTAACAAATCTACTAGTAAAAATGGTGAGGAAGGAAGAATCATGCTTACCAAGTCTGCAGCCGCCTGCAGTGTAACATGGTCACCCCACTCTCCATTCCTGGTAAGCATAAAAAAGTGAGAATGTGCATCTTTACAGTCTAATTCATTAACATATATACTGAGATAAATAAATACTACTAGTAGAAAAAGAGCAGGCACTGACTTTGGCATCTTCTTAAGGTATTCTCTGTAATCCATAGGGACATATCCAGCATATATCTCAGGATGAGACTCAAGCTGCGAATGAAAACATATTACTGTCAGTACAAGAGAATCTGATAAGGAAAAGTTCAGCTTCTTAATAGTACAGAGAGACACAACCAGTTCTCGTAGCTGTATTTATCGACCGACAAAATGATTCTTATTGTGTGTCCTTTCACTGTAAGAAGGAAACTGATATAAGCAGTCATTTTGAATATACTAACCTGATTGACCACTTGTTGCCGTACAAATCTATGGTGTTCAGGAGTTCGGTAGAATTGATCGGACAATGCTCGAAACTGTTTAACAGGAAGGTTCAGAAAGAGATAAGCACTTGTAGAGCAGGTCTGTACTGATGACACCAAATATGCTATTCTCGAAAAGTAAAGAGAGAACTGAATCCTGTAAATATACCTGACAATTGCCATCTCCGTTAACCTTGAGCTCAACCAGGCCATACAGCACCAACCTAAATAAGAGATCATATTGGGATCAAATGACAGACAATCAGAAAAGACCTACCATGGAGCACATACAGTATACAGAACATGTCTTCATGTATAGATTTATGGGATGACAAGTGTACTGCAGGGGTATTTACCTGTCAAGAAGTCTTCGGTGATCTGAAAAGGCTTCATCAAAAGAAGGAATGTCTCCGTTTGTTTTAGGGACATGCTGCAGTAGCAAAGTGAATAAGTAACAAAAAACTTAGACATGATATTCAAGGCAACACATGCAAGTTAATGAAAATTCGTCAAAGAATGACCTTCTTGATCATTGACGGAGAGTTAGAGATGCAGGTTCTGAACTTTTATTTTCTAGATTGATGAGTAACAAACTCATTATTAAATGTTAAAATGGGGCTTGCCTTAAGATGGGAAGTAAAGTTGCAAAAACTATCACACAGAACAGTAAAAATGGAACATAGCTCAGCATTTGCATTGATAGGAAAAACTATCACACAAAATAGTAAAAATGGAGCATGGCTCAGCATTTGCATTGATAGGAACAGACATACGATCAAACCATGGGCATCTACTAGGTAGATCGATAATTCTGCATTTAACATATTATCTGAACCGCAAATAGTGTCCGGCATCCTTGAGTAATAACCCAAGCATTCTTATGATTACTTAGCAGGAACTAGCAATTACAACTCCTCTAAACTTCAGAGCACCGTTATTTGATAATTAGATAATACACCAAAGGTGGAACTTTGAAGCTCCTTGAAACTGTAGAAACCCAAAACTGCTGTGCTTAACCCCCTCAGGCAGTAAAATAAAAATATAATGTAGAGCAATAAAAGTGGAACAGGGCTCAGCATTTACATTGATAGGAGCAGATATTCGACCGGGGATCTACTAGGTTGATTGATAATTCACATAAATCAAAAGCATTGTCTGCATTTAACATATGATCTCTACTGTAAATAGTGTCCGGCATCCTTGAGGAATAACCCAAGCATTATTCTGATCACCTAGCAGGAACTAGCAATCCCCAAACGCATCTAAACTTCAGAGCATGGTTAGATAAGATATCCGAGGTGAAACTCTGAATCCCCTTGAAACTGTAGAAACCCAAAACTATTTGTACTTAACCCCTTTATGCAGTGAATCAATTCTAGCATATGTCCCAACCATTCTAGCCATTGTTCGGTTATAATGGATATATAAACTTGGATCAGCAGGAAGTGAAGTGGACAATTATACTAGTACTTACAGGGACAGGGACCATGTCATTCAGTCTTTTGCCGACTTCGCCGTCGAGAGCAGAGAAATCATCCACAAGCTCTATGGAGCAGCCCTGGCCGTCGCGCGCATTGCTACCTTGTTCGGGGCTCGAACATGGACTGGAGCCCTCTGCTTCTTCTACATAAGGTGGAGCTGCACCGGGGTTTGTTCAGGAAAGGGGATCGAGTCAGGAGGGGATGACATGTCTGAATTTACAGTGCTTTGCGTCTGTGTTGGTAACTGAAGATTAGTACCTGAGGGCAGATAGCTGACGACCTCGGGGCGGAACCACTGCTGCGCGAGGACGGTGGCGCGGCGCTCGGCCTCGCCGCCGCCGGCCCCCGAGGCCTCGGCCATGGCGACCTGCGCCAGCTCCTCCTGCAGCGCGTGCGCGATGACCTCGTCGTTCTCGACCGCGTCGACCCTGACCTCGGAGGCGGAGGCGGAGGCGGGGGCGGGGGCCATGTCGTGGCCGTCGAGAAGGGCGCGGGCGCGCTGCGGCTGCGGCGGCGGCGGGGCGTAGTCGGTGGTGGGGGATTGAGGGCGGTGCACGCAGCCGCCGCCGCCGTCGAGGAGGTGGTGGAGGCCCCAGCGGACGATGTTGGCGTCCAGATCTTGCTGGCCCCGCACCACCATGGCCGGCCGGCCGGGCTTGGTCGGTGTCGGTCGACGAGAGGCGAGCCTGCGCCGGCGGAACAAAAATAAAAATAAAAAACCAACATGCAGTTAGTTATTCCCTCCCGAAGAACAAGAACAAGAACAAGAACAATCCAATCCAATTCAAACCGGTTGATTGATTGATTGGCGACGAAGCAATCCGGCGATTTAGGCCCTGCTCGCGACGAACGACGAAACTGGATTGAATGGACAGGACAGAGACGAGACCCGGCTTTGAAATCAGGACCAGATCAAATCTTTATACTTGTGTGCAGTAGTATTATCCCCGCAAGTCGGCAGCCGTGTACTGCGCGTGCTGGTCTCCTTGTCGGTCCCCTGTGCTGTCCTGTAGAACGATCGAGAGAGGCGGGCGGCAAGAGCAAAGCATCCACGGGAACAAGAAACCGAAACGGTCTTGGATTGTCTTGTCACGAGGAGGAAGACGAAACGTGTGGGTCCCGCAAGGCAGTTGCTTCGTTCGTACGTACGTAGGAGAGGACAAACCCAACCCCACGAAGCCAATGCCGACTTTCTTGAGCCCCTCCCATCCCATCACTCGCTTTGTTTTTGGTCAACCAAACCCACTTCTTTTCGTCGTCTTTTCCTTGTTTTTGTCAAACAAATGTGTTGGATTGATCGACACAATATTTTCCTTTTTTTTGACTTAGGGCAATGGTCACCCCCCCCTCCCTCCTCTTAGTCCGTCGAGCGGGCCCATCTCTCCTACCTCCGACAACTCGGCTGCATGGAGGAGGAGGATGAGCTGAAGGAGACTTGTGTGATCTTGGCCTCCATCGAGACATATCACGCGGGAGGATGAGGAGCGGCGCGTAAGGGATGAGTCCAAGGCCTTCCTTTCATTGCATTCTCAAGTTTGTGGCGCGCACCGACAAGCGGCATGCAATGGAGACACCGCCGCCGGTAACCAAGCCTGGCCAAGGTTGGCGTGTCCTC